CAGAAAACTTCATTTCTGCACAGGGAAATACAACTTAAGAATCAAGCCATTGGTCCTTTGTGGGAATACAAGAAAAACTGTTCAGAGCAGAAGCTGTGGAGCAAGATAAACAGCATGATAACCAAGGACACCTCTAGAAGAAGAAAGAATGTCTCACGGCTCTGTTTGGATAAGCGCCTGTGTGAACGGTTGAAGAGTGTTTATAGAATGCTCTGTTGACATGTAAAGGTGGATGGGAAAGTTGTACGGGTGGATGGGAAAGCTAGAAAAAGAAAGCTTGTGGAGGTATATAAGTGATGTGAGAACTTTTAATAAACAATTTGGATCATTCACATCTGAATCCGTGCATCTGACCTTGCAGTCCTTCATTCATAAACCTGATCTTTGCCCAACTATTCTCTCAAACTATCTTTTCCAGTGAAGTCTAATTTTAACTGCATTTTTATGAAGCAGGAAATATTAATCACTAAATCTGATTGGTCTCACTGCTGCTTACCCTAGGGCAGCTTTTTTAGCTTATGAAAACTGGTGTCAGTTGACATTGTCATCCACATGCCTTGATGAGTAAAAGCTGAAGCTGAGCTATTTCCATTTTAACTAGACAATAAAGCAGAGAAGCTGATAAACGCTGAGGTAGGGTAGATTTCAGCAGGGAGGTTTTAAGAAATGAAGTTTTCTCATTGGTCTCATACCCATCCTATTACTGGAAATAAAGCCACCTAAGCTCATCCTTTTAATGTTTTTATTAAGAGATCTCATCAAAAGACAGGAGAAGACTGTGCAGCCAACTGAGAAAATTAAGGGGGGAAAGGCTTATTGTTATATAAAAGTCCCTTCCTCCCACTTTCACAGGGCTGTTCTTGATCCTTTCAAGCAATCTCTTTGAGAAAAGAAGATGCTGTTAGCTTGAATCATACAAAGAAGAAATTACAAGTTAGTCTTTTATGTTAATATTTTATTCCATTAATGCCACTATTATTTATCTAGCATGAACTGAGTGCTAGGGCTTTTCAGATAGCAAGCTCCACGTCCCAGTGCATGGTGTATGGGTGATACATGCAAGAGGATATGAGAGCGGTCATCTAATTAGTTTCTGGCCTGTGCCTGAAGAGATGGGTACCGTGGATGCAGCTCTGAGGCACTGGGAGAAGTCACACTACAAACATTCTTCAAAGTTGCTCAGCTATGAGCTTTGAGGTATGAGGCCTGATTTCTCAGTGCATTACTTCTCCTGCTGGTAAAAGAGAAGCCTCTGTGCTTTGTTGCTGTGTCTTTAGATTTCAGAAGGTGTCAGGAAACACATCTTCCCATGTAGATAAGGACTACTTAGCATACTGGGACATACTCTCATTAGAGGCCTTCATGCACTGCTACAGGGTGATACCTCAGTAAATGCATTTCTTCCTCTGCCAGAACACTTTTTGATTTTCTGTACTCAGTTCCACAAACAAGCAGTGAATTTTCACCTGTATTTTTAACTAGTTTGTTCCACACTTCCTTTTAAAGTTCCCTTTTAAGGAATCAATATTTTAAATTAAACAGAGAGAAAAGATAAAGGACAAGCTAAAGGATAGGGACAAAGGATTGTAATTTTTAATATAAAGTTACTTGTAATTTCTTCCAATTTTTGCCATCCTGTGCTTCCTCAAAAAGAAGTTTGATTCTAAAGACAAGCAGAGTTGATTCCTGATTTCTCTGGATATCACTGTAGTGGAAAATACACTACACTTAATTGCTTAAGCAAGCAACACTTTCTGATCTCAGTGGATAAGATTTTCTAAGCTGATGCACCAATTTGCCCTCTAACAAAGTCTCTGAAAGGTGAAGATAAAAGGTTGATCTGGTACAGAGGGTCTCCTTTATTTTGGGTGAAAGGGGTGAGGTTATTCACCTCCACAGGCTCACTGGCACATCAGCACTTCAGAGTGGCCCTTCTGGTGGCCATCAGAAGCAGCACATTAAAGGCATGTCAGAAAAGGAGAAGGAGCCGTGTTTCTTCTTTTCCTTCCCATCTACCCAAGGCATGTGCATGCCAATGCAAAGGTGACACAGGCACAGTGGAACCAGACTTCTTTTTTAAGCAGCATCAGGGCTGGTAACTGAGCTGGAAAGAACCTCTCTATTTGTCCTGTAGTCTCCCGTGTCTCTATGGACTGCAAAATGCAAAACAGGGATGTTCCTACATTTGGAATTCACACAGCGCTTTCTGAAGGCATGTCACATTGTGCTAAAAACTACAACAGTCATTAAAAGTCCTGAGTCCCAAGGTTCTCTGTAGAGGGGACTGGGCCAGTTATCTCTCACTCTCATACCAGCTCCACAGGGATAACTTACTCACAGACCATGGGGATATGGGGCTGGGCTCAGTAGCACAGGATACACCAGTTCTATGTGCATCTAGGGCATATATATCTATAAACATATAGCCTCTGCCAGACCTAACCATCTTCAAAGTTTTTGGGTATATACTACAATTCTGAGCTCAAAGAAGTCCAGCAAAGACATTTCATTTGATATCTCTGCCCAGAGCTAGACCATATAATAATTTTGGTCCAGGTATATCTCCAGTACATCTCTGAGAACAAAGCTCATCCTACTTTATACACAAGTTGATGCCTGCGTGCATACATGGGCAAATGTAGAATGGTCTCTGGGGATGGCAGGCAGTCAAGGGTGGAATCTTGCACATTGGGAGCCCACAGTAATTTCAGCTGATAAATAAATAATGAGTGCCAGTTTCTGACAGTGCCAATTTCTTAACCTTTGGAATCATTAATGACTTCTCCCTTCCACTGGAAAAAAAAAGCCTGCAGTTCCTAAAGCTTTCTAAGACACCACAAATAAGCTCGTAATTTGACAGGCAAAATGCCAGGAAAAGTGAAAGCAGATTTCTCCCTTCAAGGCCCTGAATACCTTAGTAATTCTTTGCTTCTTTTCCAAATACTATTTCCTTTTTGTTTAATCACAGGTTCGGGTCAAGATACTCTTCAAAATATCATGCCCTGTCCACGTGCATTTTCTTAACCTTAAGGATGCTCAATTTCCTACTTCGCCAGCCAAAACAAACACAACACAGAAATGCCTACACACGTCCAAAGCAGCCACCAAGTAGCTTTCATTTTTAATTTACTGTAAGATGAGTGTACCATCCATCCATGTATTTTTTCCCCTCATGTGCAAAGCCAGCATCCATAACAAGTATTTGAGAAGCTGTATTTGGCATGAAACTCATCAAAAGGAATTAGCTACAGTAAGTGAACAATAACTTTACATGGCATACAAAAATAAGTTGAGGCTGATCAAGGCCATAGACCGGCAGAATATTTAAGGTCCTTGAAAATGAAATAATGCTTTGTTTTCTCTAAGCACCCTTCAGACAAAGATCCCAATGGGTTTTCACAAGGATTCTGGAAGCTGATGGCACCCCAGGGAAGAGCCTATCTGACCCAGACTTCCTGTTGGAAAGCAGCCATTGGCTGCTCTCTCAGGACTGATCTGAAAGGGTGGGACTGCTTTTCTTCCCCTCATTGCTCTCTGAAGGACTAGCTTTCCCCATCACAGCTGACCATCCAGTCCTGTAGACATACTTCAACACTCTCCTATCTAGGCAAGTAGTTCAGGAAAAAGAATAACAGCCTTCACTGCCTTTCTGTGAATTGTGGCATAAATAGAAGGAGACTGTTGCACCATTGTCACTGAGTCACAGCAAAAGAAGTTCTCACTAGATATAGAGGGAAAAAAATCATGTGCCCTGTGAGGTGTACTTTTGTCCCTTCTCTTTCCAAAATGGACTATTTTGATAGGCACTTTGCTGCTTTTCTGCAGGGATGGCAAGGCATGAAGTTAAACGATCACTCCGCATACACACCTATTTTTGAGGAGAAGCTCACATCTTGGAGGCAATTTTATGCAAATTTTGCAAAATGAAAAATTCTTGAAGATGACGCTGTACATCGGTAACAAAGCGTGACTGACTGCATTCTGGTAGTCTGAGCACTAGTGTCTTGTAGCCAGAAGTCAGTTTCTCTGAGGAATGTTTTTGTGGGCAGTCTCTGCAAAAAAAAAAACAAAAAAAAACTTAACATGGTGAAATGCCAGCTGTGATTATACTATGTAAACCATCTGAAATACACAGGTCAAATGGCAAAAAATTAATCTTAAAATTAACCCCTATCAATCAGATTAAAGGGAGAAGAATGACTTAAAGAATTTAATTTTACTTTGTACTCACCAGGGAAACAATGGACTCTGGCCTTGTTCATTAATATTTAATAAGAACTTTATTAACTTTCTTAAATAAAGGATTTGATTTCTGACTTGTACCTATTTCTTAGATCCCAGTGGAACTCATATTCTCTATTATCAGCTTTTGCATTAGCTCTTGGGATCTTTTTTTTATTATTATTATTTTTAATTTCTGTTTTTCTTCCTCTTCTTGACAATGAATCACAGAGAAGTTAGCCAAGTCATGGGACAAAGACACCACAGCTTCTGGGATGGCTGCAGGAGTGAGAACTGCACGCTAGTTGACTTGCAAATAGACATGGACCTGTTTCTCTTGCAGTCCAGTGCAGGCCAATTGCCAAGGGGCTTGACCTCCTAGGAGCTCCCAAACCTGATCATACAGTCCATTCAATGCAGAAAGGTGTCTGCTAGATGTCCATCCCTGAAGCATCATCAGACTGCTTCACTCAACCAGAGGAGCAGCCTGGGGACAGCACAATGATGGCTTCCAGCTTGGCTAAGATGTGCCACTCATGTACCATACATCCCACTGTTTAGTTTGCAGAACTGAAGAAAAAGGAAGTGGGGGAAAAAAGACCCTCAAAGCCAGCACTTCTTACTGACATTTAGTTGGGGAGTGGGAAGCTGATGTCAGTCAGGTGAGGAACCCTCCTCTGCTGCTGCCACAGGTGCCAGCAATTCCCTACCTCCACCTTTGGTAAGAAGTAATTAGTTGAAGAGGGTGTTAATTTGTGTGTATGCAAGGAGCTTAGAATGTATATTGGTTACTTAATGACAAAAATGATTTGCTTCCTAGCTGGTTCTTGATGTGTATTTACTTGGGTGCAGAAATACCTAGGCTGAGTGTGGAGGGACTATGAGCCATCCAGGAGCTGCTATACCAAAGAAAAATGGGGAACCTGGGTGTGCTTGGCCTTGCTGGGCTCCTGAAGACACTGAGGCTGATGGAGGTAGGTCTGGCTTCCCATTTCCTCCAGAGACCTTGTTGAAATGGAAGAAAGTGCCTTCTTGTGGGATAGCAGCAGAGACTTTTTTTTTTTTTTTTTTTTTTTTTTTTTTTTTTTTTTTTTTTTTTTTTTTTTTTTTTTTTTTTTTTTTTTTTTTTTTGGTATCAGTACAGTTTTTGTATTGTTTTTGTATTGAAGAACTTGGTAATGGTTTCCTACTGTTTCTTCTTTCCTGCTGCAAGCTGCAAAATTTCCCAAGGTACAAAAAAGCACAGGACTTTAGTCAGATTTTGAGGTCAGTGAGAAATACGTGATAGCCTAAGAAACTTCTGTGATGTTCCCCTGGTGTTGTTTGTGAAACACACCATGTACAATGAATGCATTACATATGCCTTCTGAGCTGGAAGATGAAGTTGAGGGAAAGGTTCTGGATTTGCCTGCACGTAATGGTGATTAATTTAGCTGAAAGTCTGTGACAAGAACAATCACAAATGATTTCTGAAGTTGATTGTATTATTCCATTATGCAGAAAAGGCAAACTACTGGCCCACTTTTCTTTCAGAAGATATGATTAATTCCCATTGATATAATCACTGTTGGTGTGTGTGTGTATTTGTGTGTCAATCAGGGACAGAGCAAGGAGAGAAGGAAGGACCCTACAGCAGAGAACTAAATGTTATCCCTAATCCTGACTTTTCCTTGCTGGGAGTTACTGGAAGGGCCTTGGCTACAGGATAATGTTCATATACCTATTTTATTTTCTGCTGTAAACAGCAAAGTATTTTCTGAACAGAGCAGGAAATATGGACAGTCAAGTCAGATTACTTCAGTGTCTGTGTTAGAGCACTGCAAGTTTGGATTTGAGAGGTTTACAGTATCATGGTGCAGGGTCTCAAAAAAAGCAAACAAATTTCTGCTAAAATGGAAACACCTTCCCTATGACAACTGCTTGCACAACTGTTGACAGCTTGCAAAGCCTGCATAATTGGTAATAGGGATAAGGACAGAAATATTCGTAGGTCCAACACTTTTTTTGCCCATTTCAGTATCGTTCTTCAAAGCAAAGTGACCATTCTCCTGTATTCTCCTGTATATTAGCTATTTTTTCTGACAACTTTCTTCTTTTGGAAAAAAAAAAAAAAAAAAAAAGGCATTGTCTCTCAAGGACACCTAATCCCTATTACTTGCTCTCAGTTGTTCATTTATGTGGCAAGAAAGGTCATGGTTTAGCTGAGATAAAATGGGCTGATCCTGTAATTTTTTTCTTTTACTTTTCTCTGTTTTACAATCTATTTAGGATTAGAAACTTTCTTAGAGGATGCAATTCTCCCAAAATGGAGTTTGTGTCAAAAAAAAAAAAAAAAGGAAAGGCAAAGAAAAGTCTTAAAAAGTTTGAAAGTTCTTGTTACAGCAATTTTAAAAAAGTTTTTGTAGGAAAAAAAAAAAGTCTGTTAAAAATGTTTTGACATTTTCCAAATGAAACTTAAACCTTTGTTTCAAAATGACATTTTTCATTTTAAAAGTGACCCAAGCTAAAAAAAAAAAAAAAAATTCAACAAAAGAACTATGCACCTAGAGAATAAAATGCTTGGATTGGCCAGTTTAATCTGAATTATCCTGTTGAAAAACATAACAAACTACCAAAACAATTTGCTGTAATCAGAATAATATTTCCTGATTTGTCAATAAAGGGGAAAAAAACCAAAAACATGCAAAATCTTGAGTGACATAAGAGTTGCTAGAATTCTAAGCTCGCTTTCGAGAGACAGCAGCTTGGTTGCAAAAGCACAGCAACAACAGACTTAACTGTCTTCTTTTTGGGGATATGAGAACTGCAGCCCAAGATCATAAAGGAGACAATAAAAAAAATTCGGTTGATGGTCAGCTCTGAAACTGGCCAGCTGCAACTAGATCATTGAGCCAAGAGGCACCACCAGATCTTTTGAACTGTCATCATCTCTCACCTAAATGCAGTCCCAAGACCTTTAATTTTGCTTCTACAGCCCCACATCACTGACCTGGCTGCCCCTTATGTGCAGCTTCTTTGCAGCTCTTTCCACATAGCCTTCAGTGCTGCAGCTGCTGCCTATGGATACTGAGCAGGGAGGCTAAAAATACCCCATCGTGCATGCCACCACATAGCAGGAGAATTTATTTCTCCGTACTAAATCCCTCCCTATGGGTTCAGTTACTCTTCCTGCCTGAGCTAGCGCATGCTGTCTAGGATTAAGCTGTCTGTGAAAGTGAGACCTGCTGGGAGCAATGCAAGACCCCTGGCCACAGTCCCCAAACAGAGCCCTTCATTTTCTCAATTGCCTCCTCAGGAGGCTGCTCCCTTAGAGTGGTCAGCATCTGCTTTTCTTCCCAGTTTCAGAGAGAGTCCAGACTGAGGGAGAGGTGGGGGTTGGTGCCAAGGTAGACTGGTACAGCACTAAGGATATAGCTGCATGTCCCCTGTCTCTCTATGCCTGCCTTATGGAAAGAGTGCTTTGGGATCCTGGATATTCATGCAGTGTTTCATTTCACAGGGCTTTAGGGCATTTAAAGAGCATTTCATAACAGCAGAAACTCTGCTGATAGCATGGTGCCCACAGTGTGCTACCAAGGATGGCTGGAACATTACATAGTCTAAAAAGAGCCTTTCAGAAGTGTCACTCCTACACACTAGGGTACAGCAGGAGGTTCTCAGCAGCAGTCTGCATGTCACTCACAGCAGGGACTGCTGGCACAATGGCTTCTGATTTTGCTGCCTATTCAGTATTATTTGTTATATGTTGATATTGTTGATGCACTTAAAGAGATTATATATTTTTCCTGTGGCATAAACAAAATGACTTTCATTTTGTAAGGAGAGTAATGGTAATGAGAAGTCAGGCTTCAAGGGGAAATGATGGTAAGGTTGATGGCAAGGAGAAATGAATCTTGAATGCTCAACTTGGTCTGAGCTGACTACCATTTCCTTAAATAAATAAATTCAAGTCCACACATGTCCTTACCTTATAGGGAGGGAGAAAAGAGTTTGCAACTTCACAGTGGGTAATGTTCCTAGTAGCTGCTCCTTTGCCATCAACTCAAATCCGGCTTCAGACAAAATACAGGCTTGGTGGTTCTTCTTGGGCTGATGTCAGAGCCTTGCCCCTGCCTCGAAGCAGACCAGAGCTAGACATGATCACAGAGACAAAAGATGATGTAAGGACTCCTCTGAAGCCAGCCAGGCTTAAAGGTCACCTGAGGAGCAGCTCTGGCTTTTCTCCCCCTAACCCACATCATCCTTCCCTCGCTCAAGTGCAATAGTGATGAACTAGATCAAAATGGGAAGGGGGTATTCTGCTATGAATAACTCTCGACTTGCTGCTCCCTGGAACATGCTGAACATTAATTTGTCTTCTGTTCTCATGGGACAGCATACTGTATATTACAGCCATTTCTTATTTGTGTTTTTTTTTCCCCACCCAAATACAGAAGAGTGGCAGCTGAGTTGCTGTGTGAGAATAGCATTAAAATGTGTAATGCACCATAAATAAACAGAAATAGACAGCCAGGAAGCTGTGGTAATCGCTGCTTTGATGTAGCATGAATTATGATGTGTGTATATATGTGAGTGGGGAGGTGGGGGGTGTTTAAGGGCTTCATGTTTCTTGTGGTGCTTGTTTTGACTCCACTGCAGTTGTTCTGGGAAGAGAGAAAACCCAGCCTGGCATTTGCATATCTCCTCCTTCGCACTGACAGCTGCTGTTCGTTGACTCAGAGAAAAGGGGTGCAGCCTACACCGCCTGTTCCCCTCGGGTCTTCCCTCCTCCACACCCCTCTGCCCCCTCCCTATGTGCTGTGCCCCATAGCAAAGCAGGAGCATAAATCTCTCCTTCTCCCAGGAAGTGGGTTAAGGTCCTTCTGCCACTCTGACAGGATCTCTCTATCAGTTTCACTTTCCAGAAGGAACTGATTTATGCTCCTTTGGCCTCATCTACATCAAGCTGTTTTTTTTGTTGTTGTTTTTCCCTGCTGACAGCCCACTGCTACTGGGATACCAAAAGCCACAGTGGATGTGTTAGAGCAAGCAAGTGAGGTTATTAACAAGATGGTCTCATTTTGCTTGAGGTACTCAACATTAGGAAGGTGGCTGCTGAATCCCGGTGTTCTGAGATCAGTAAGATACTTGCAGTAGGCAGAAAGACAGGAAAGCCAGCAGAAAAAGATATGGTGCGGGTGTCTCCTTGTTGATTATCCTCTATCAGCATCCCAGGGACTCCTTTAGCTAGCACAGCACGCCGCTTGCTGGAAATAATCTCCTGCCCATCCCTGCAGCAGCAGCAAGGCAGTTTATTAAAACAGCCCTGCTTTCTTCTTGTGCTCTTTGCATTAATGTTTTTACCTGCAGCCAGTAGTCTCCCTCTGAAAAACTTGTTGGGTCTGAATGGCCACAAATGAGTCTGAAAGTGCTTTACTGCTGCTTGGGTTCAATGAATTCTCTGACCTTATGATAATTTAGGTGTCACAGGGCACCAATAAATGCCAAAACTCACCTGCCAGTCTGTAACTAGCTGCACAGCTGCTGCAGAGCAGAGTGCCTGTGCTCAGTGTGCCTGTGAGGCTTGGCTGTGAGCAGCCAGGCTCTCAGGCCTGCACACATGAGTGCACTTGCATGGCTCCAGGGCTGGAGTGGGGCCTCTCCTTGGGCTCAGGAAAAACAGTGTCCTGTTCAGCTCTGTCCTCTCTGAGCCCTGAGTGAAAACACCATCACACACCTCCATCCTTTTATAAGACATGCTATTTACTAACCAAGTGGAGGCAGAGTAAGTGCAGGGCTGTGTGGCCCAGGCTTTCTGCCAGCAGTTGCCTCAGACAGGGAGAAGGTCTGAAAACCCAGAAAGAAGAGCACTCAAATATTCACACCTTGTTTAATTCAGCCTCATCAAGCCTGACTGGCTTAGATGGTTGTAATTAACTGCTGAGAAGGGTAAAGATTTCTTGAAACTGCAGCATATTGACATAATCAAAGGCCA